TATGACTGCATGTATTAATATGAAAATTATTGTTCATACCAAACGGCTTCATGTGTTCAATTTGCATTAATTTAGACTAGCTTTTCCTATTAAGAATAAACTTTACAACTGGAATATAGAAAAACATTTCATGCAGATGGAATAGCAGGTACAGGAGCGAAACAACAGGATCAGGTAAAATAGTAAGTATGAGGAACTGATGACTGGGCAGTGTAGCTGACACGGAGAGTAAACCTGGCATGTAGGCAGGGGCTAGACAGCAGGGCCTTGTGGTCCATTTGAGGAATTTTGTCTTTATCCTGAGAGAAATGAGAAGCCAGTAAAATATGGAATTGGGGGTGTGTGCTATGCATGTGTGTGTACATATGCATGATGTGTAATATAATGAGAGAGAGATTTTGGAGGAAAACTCATTAACAACCTGTGATATGCAGATGACACAACCTTGCTTGTTAAAAGTGAAGATGACTTAAAGCATTTACTGATGAATATTAAAGACTACAGTCTGCAGTATGGATTACAGCTTAGCATAAAGAAAACAAAAAATAAACAGCATCGCAATTAATGCAGAAATGATTGAAGTTGTCAAAGATTTCATATTACTTGAATTCACAATCAGCACTAACGGAAGGAGCAGTCAAGAAATCAGATGTCATATTGCACTGGGCAAATCTGCTGCAAAAGACCTCTTTGAAGAGCAAAGACATCATGTTGAAGACTAAAGTGTGCCTAACCCAAGCCATGGTATTTTCAATAGCCTTATATGCATGTGAAAGCTGGACAATGAATAAGGAAGACTGAAGAAGAGTTGATGCTTTTGAGTTGTGGTGTTGGTGAAGAATACTGAAAGTACCAGACTGCCAGGATGAACAAATCTGTCCCAGAAGAAGTACAGCCAGAATGCTCCTTAGAAGTGAGAATGGTCACACTTCATATCACTTTGTTCATGTTGTCAGAAGAGACCATTCTTTAGAGAAGGATATCATGCTTGGTAAAGTGGAGGGTCAGCAAATAAGGGGAAGACCCTCAATGAGCAGACTGACATAGTGGCTGCAATGATGGGCTCAGGTATGGGAAGGATTGTGAGGATGACACATGACCGAGCAGTGTTTTGTTCTGTTGTGCATACGGTCACCATGAGCCACAGCCAACTCAACAGCACCTAACACCACCACCACATGTTTTGGAAATAAATCTCTGATTCTTTTATGCTTATGTTCAGGTCAAACCAAATCAGGTTGAAGCTACAAACTTAGATTACCTTTCTCTGGCTTCCCACATGGCTATTTTCCTTTACTGAATTCTGATTTAATATTAATCATCGACATGGCCACATCGAATGGCCACATGTAAAATATTTGCCTTTATGTAAAACTGTTATTGAAGTCCATTATACTATTCAATGCCCCTTTTGGTAAAGTCTGTGAATAAACTTTCAATTTACAATCAAGATAAAGTTGATCTTTCCTGAAAAACTGATACATTGCTACTTAATCTGTATTAAAAGCTATGTAATCCATTAAATTTACATATTTGCCTTGGTTGTTAGGAAGACTAGAGATCCCTGGGTGGGGCAAACAGCTTGCACTCTAGTGGTGCAGTGGTTAAGGCATTTGACTGCTAACCAAAATGTCAGTGGTTCGAAGGTACCAGCCACTCCACAGGAGAAAGATGAGGCAGTCTGCTTAGGTAAAGATTTATAGCCTTGGAAACCCTATGAAGCAGTTCTATTCTGTCCCATGAGGTCATTATGAATCAGACTCGACTCCATGGCAGTGGGCTTGGTTTTTGGTTTACTAACTTAAATGGCAATGGTTCAAATCTACCCAGTAGTGGCTCAGGTCTGATGATCTATTTCTGTGAAGACTACAGCCAAAAACAAACATAAGGAGCTGTTCTACTCTGTAACACATGGGGTCGTCATGAATTGGAATCAACCTGATGGCAAGGGGTTTGTATTTTGTGTTTTTTCAGGAAACTGGAGCTTAGTTTTATGCTCAGTTACTCTGCTGTGATCCTCTAATATAATTGTTTTCTCATTTATTACTAGTTCTGAATTTTTACCCTCAGTAAATAATTTTACAATTTTACTAAGTATCCCAAGGTTTGTTAAGATCTCAGAGTGATGAAGGGTAATGGCTGGTACCTCAGAGAAAAGGCCATGAAGGCTGTTGTGGGCATATGCCTTCGGTGGTAGTAGGGATGAGAGTGATGAGGGAGGAGGAGGTATGGGGCGGGGAGCGTCATTAGATAATGTAGCTGGAAGCCCGGAGACCAGAACTCCCATTATTTAGGGTTATTTTGTGCTACTTTGTCTCACATAAAATACACATGATTGTTTTTGGCTTTTGACTCAATCTGATAAATTTTATCTTTTAATGGGAGTGTTTATATGAGTGTAATAAACTACTATTTCCACTCATGACCTGTTTTAAGACTTTCATTAAAAAAAAAAAAATTTCCTGTCTCCTTATAAATGAACTACACTTTTCTTTTTTTAATCTTCAACTTTTTTAAAAATTATATCTCCAATCTCTAGTTTCATGAGTTCTAAGTTTTTTGAAAAGCTTATATGTTTATGAGAAACTTAGCACACATTATTTTTTTCCCTTGAATGCTCTTGCTCCCCTCAACTCTTGTGGCTTTAGGTACATAAAAGTGTTATAGAATGTACAAAAAAAGATGATTTTACATTTTTAAAAAAGATATTTGATAATCACATCACAGGTTATCATATTAAAACCATTCCACCCACTCTTCATTTAGAGACGTGGTTAGTTCCAAAGACCAGGTCATTATGTGAAAATTGGCATTATGCAAAAATAGAGGATGAC